GAAAAGGCCAGTCATAAGTAATGTACTGGTGATACAAAAGTTCTCTCATCAGGTATGTTGTGAGCCACAGGTCTAATTGTGTGGCCCAGAGGGATCTGCTGGCTCAAGCTCTCTACTGTACTTGCCAGGCTGCAGCACCTCCTGTGAACTTAGGGACAGCAGAAGAGAAAAATGCTGGAATCATTACACGAGGAAAGGTTTCTCTGTAAGCAGGCAAGCAATCGGGGCATTATAGCCTACCTTGATATGATGGAAGTGATCTCAGATCTCATTCAGGAAGACACACTGATGGAGGGTTTACTTCCTCCTACATAAAAGCAAAGCCAGCAGGACTCGTGCTTTCTCCAGGCAAGCTCTGCCCTGCTTTGTCTGAGAGTTGGAGGGTGAGTGCCAGCACAGGCTGGAGCTGACAGCAGAGCCCGGTGCCTCATCTGTCAGCCCTGAAGGCTGATGCCCTCAGAGAGGAAGGATCTCTCTGCACCCTGCTGTTTGATTATAAAATACAGTGGTGATGGCATCTGTCATCACTGGTGTGATGAGGGCAATCCTGGGCATGGTGTAAGAGCTCATCAGCCCTTCCTGCCAGCTCCCAGGTCTGCAGCGCTGAGCCAAACCTCTTCCAGGCCTTGGGCCCTCAGGCTGAGTGCATGTGGCCCAGAGAAACATAGATCCTTCCCTCCTGCCTCCCCCAGCCCTCTGTTTTTCAAGAGGGAGGAGTGAGAGGGAAGAAATAGGAAGATGTTACACAAGAATTTGCTGAAATTAATTGCTAAGGAGACCTGACATGACAGGTCTGAGAGCCTGGTGAAATCCATACAAAACCCCCATGCTTTTCAAGGCCTCTAAATTACCAAGCATGCTTGCATTTTTCATATGACATAATTCTTCTACCATCTGGGAAAGTAAGTAGAGATATTTCCCCCCCCACCCCTCTAGTATAATAGACTTTGTCACTAATTCAAGGTTCTTGACTTCTAGAAATTGATGTCATTTGTAATAAACACAGATAGGCCAAACTGAGTCAACTTGTTACAAGTAATTACAATTTTAAGTTTAAAAAAAAAAATTAGCCAGAGCCTTTGCTTCAAGAAGGGAGCAAGCTCAAACAGCTACAAGGACACTACTCTGAGAGGGGCACTCCAGCTGTCCTGTCCTGAGTTCAGTCAGGGAGCCTGGCTGGCTTCAGGCAGTAGGCAACTAAACAAGTGAGTCACAGTTATACTTCCCAAGCAGAGTCGTGTCACAGCATCCTTACTCAAACACCTGGAATTGGCACCAGCTACTCTGTTTATGAATGCCACCATGGGAAAGGCTGTCAGGATGGCTGGTTGCCTCTAATGTTTGGGACGTTCCAGGTTGCCTGTTCTGTTTATTGCCAGCCATCCACACTGGGATTTCACTGTAACTGGCTAGCACATTTATTTACTAATGAACAATTCCTTAGAGATCTGACCTATGTGTACCCACTACTGAGAGGTTATTGCTTGGCCTTGTCTGAAAAAGAGGGTGGCAGCACAAGATTTCTGATCTCTATCCTCGCTCAGAGCAGAGTCACAGCCCCTAGTTCCTTGGCCACTCCCTGCCTGCTGCCACCTCCACCCCACTGTGCACTAATCAGAGTTGGGCAGCTCAGCAGTGAGGGCAAGGTCCCACCTGCCAAAGCCTCTGGATCCAGCTTTGCACAACTGGGCAATCATAAAGCAATCATACATTAAGTGCAGATAGTTAGCGAAACCATTAACCGTGAGCTGCCCATGCTGTGTCCAAACCATCTCTGGCCAGTTCCAGGTGCTGTTGGTCACCCATGAGGTCCCACTTGCACCAGCGCCATCTCTAAGGGTGAACTCATCGCCCATGTGGGAAGCTGCTGGCCACCTTACTGCACCACCCCAGGCTGCTGGGACACACCAGGCAGAGCCTGTTCCAGCAGCACTGGCCAGCACTGCTACCCCCTCCTCACCCTGAGCTGCTTCTCACAGTACCCTGGGAAAAATACAGCAAGCAGCAGCTTTAACTCGACATGTTAAGTAAGTGATGACAGCAAGAGCACACGCCTGGATTTGAGCTTAGGTATTTCAGTTGTTCTCTCGGTTCTCCACCAAAATACTTAATTCCAGACTCAGCATTCAGGAGCAGATGTTCCCCAGCACATGGCAGTCTAAACACTGCGGTGTGGGACAGAGCTGTAAAACGTACACTGTGAAGCAGTTGCAGTAAATAAGTGGAATTAACTCCTGGGATCCCATTACATGGGACAGCAGGCAGAGCTGCATCTCACACTCTGCCTTCAGATCACCAGCAGTTTGCATGACAGTAGCTTTGCCTCAAGGTGCCCATCACTTGGTGTGCAGTCATCATGCCCCCTGCTCGCTTCTGATGTGCATCAGTGCTGATGCAGATTTGGCAAACTGATACAGGACCAGTCATTTTGTCCAACAAGAAAAACCTGAGACACACACAGCACCTCCTTTCCCCAAGGGTTACAGGGGTGGGTGAGGTGTCCCTCCTGTGACTAACAGACTCATCTGACTTGGGCACTTTAACGGAGACTTCAGAGCCCATTGTATTCCGTGTTCCAGGCACCAGCTGCCACGACAGCACCAGGTTTGCTCAGATGGTAAGCTGGACAAGTTTGTCATCAACGTTCTCTAGCTGAACAGCAGCTTGTGAGGTTTACTAAGCCATATAAATCATTCCACAGTCCTGCCTAAAAAACAGCTCCCTCCACCCTTCAACAAGAAGCAAGGTGCCAACTGTGCCAACTGTTAAGCCCAAATGAACAAGTTTGATCTCTGCAAGTTAACGCACATCTGCACACAAAGTTGTATTTCACATTTCTAGCACTTTCTGTGGCCGTTTACCACTGAACCGGGTCAGCGCTGCTGCTCAGGCCGGGCTTGTGCAGTGGCATCTCTGAAGGGTCTGACCTCTGACATGCAGCGCCAGGAGCTCATGCCGCCCTTACACAGCAAACACCAAGAGTAACAAACTGCATTGACATGCAAATCATCGGTTATGCATCAGTCAAGATATCACTTTTATTAACTGGATTTTCCATTTCTGTCGCACACCATGAATGCTTATACAATGAAAAAGCCAAACATTGCTGGAAGCAATAAGATCAGCTGCTATTTCTGTACCCTCTTAACACACACACACGGACTCTTTTCTTGGTGAGAAATTTTTATATTTCTGTTCATTAATTCTGCGTATTTATACTGCTACTCTTAAAATTCTGTGTCAAGATTGTCACATCTTAAATACAGATTAAGTTGCTAGAGGTACATTATTTTATATATATATATTTATATACACACATACAGAAAAATACAAGACTAATTGTTTGTCCACAATATTTAATTTATACACTACTGTAACTATATGCAACTTTTAAAGACACGTTAAGGGGTACAAGAAACTGTTTACTTGCTCTAAATAGTTTGGTCCAATATTATCTTAATGTAGTGGTTATTCTCGCCCTTCCTTTTACGTGACAACGTAATACAACATACACCACATGCACAATCATTCACCTGTCAACAACGGGATAAAGGACACCACTCAGACTAACATCTGTACACCCAAAGGTTCAACCAACCACACACAACTCTAAGGCTATAATACAACTATGCAGCATAAATGGTCAACACTGCTGTTTCTAAAGTGAGCACCATATATACAGTCGTATATAAAAACATTGGAAACAAAATACACCTGGGGTTAGTTAAAAGGTGCCATTCCAAGGCTGTACATAATATCAGGAAAGAGTATTTACAATACTTGGAAAAAAAAAAAACCTGCAACAAATAAGTTTATTGCCAATGCCCTTTATAAACTTGTCTCCTACTTGGATGTTACGCTCACTGTCCGTGAACCACACATCTCATTTCTGGCCCTTGGTAAGATCCCTGCTCGAAATTTTCAAGCAAATATGTTCTATGGCTTCACCCACACATCTACGCTTGTAGCTTTTGATTTATAAATATCACACTGACTAAACTGCAACTAGAGTTTAAAACTTAAAGCAGCAAAACGCTTATCCTTTGCCTTGTTGAGGAAGCAGAATGTAAGATCCCTGGCTAAGCTAGCCAGTAAGAACACCCCATCCAATTTAGACTCTCTTAGTAAAGTCTTTTACTAATCGAGACAAGCTGTCACGAGCTGTAGAAATTACGACCGAGCATAGCGCCGTTCTTTGGTGCCCTGCTCACTCCGCGGCGGACGTGAAATGTGTCGTACTTGACCATTCTGCAAGTGTTACAAGATGCTCAACAAGATGCTCAACTCCTCTCTGACATCCAATGTCTGCCCAGGGCGTTGCTACATACCACCACCAGTTTCACTAGCATTGCTTAGAAGACCCAGTGCACAGCATGAAAAAATAAAACATTCTTGCCCTTCCCAAAACTAGGAATCTGCAATATATTTTATTCTAGGTAATAAAATTCCACAAAGTTAATTCATCTGGTCAAAAGTACCCTTTTGTACAGAAATACTCTAAATCAAGACCTTGCCATGGCAATGGGAAACTCGACAGAAAGGCTAAGAGCTGTAAAATAAGTAATTTCCTATATGCTATTTTAAATTGACTTTATGAAAAAGCATGATTACTGAGGGAAAATAAGTGGTGTACATGTGGGGAACAGCAGTATTTAAAGTCTTAAAAAGAATAATAAAGAGAAAAATGTAAATGACAATAACAATTTCGATTTGAATCCAATTACCTAAAGGTTTTCCATCCCTTATTGCCTTTTAAAGTCTCAGGGAGGGGAGGGGAGGATAGGGGAGAAGGTTTACAAGGTAAAAACCTAAAATATTAAGTGTCATGATATACTAATAACAAAAGTAATTCATACAAATACTTTATTTTCAGTTAGCATGTAAAAACTCAGAAGTAGACTTAATAATTTACCTTTGTTATAGTAAAAAAGATTGTCTGCTTGTAATATTAACATATTTCTATGGGAGAAAGCTGCCTTACAAATCTACTTGCCTTTTTTTTTTTTTAAATAAGAAAACTGCCTCTAGCAAAACGAGATCTTTTCAGTTTGATTTTTGAGCCACAACTTTATCCATATCATAGCTTAAGACAAATAGGTGTGGGTTTAAAATCATGTTTCAAGATCACTAATTTTCAGTGCATCTTTGCTTTGTACAAGCCTTGGAACATCTGAAAGCTCCCTGAAGAGTTTTCAGCATCAAAACATTATTGCTTTGGTTCTGTTTCAGACACATAGAAGTATGCCACATATCACATAGTTTAGATATCACAGAAGGTCAGAACAAGAATTAACATTTCACAAGCAAACAAAAGCTTCTCTCTCTAGTTCAAGTGCAGAACATGAAACTTCTAAGTGCTCCATTTACATTAGGATCCAGATGTTTGTTTTAACTTAATCCAGATCTTCCATAGTAAAATTATAAATGTAAAAATTACACAATAAAATATTCTGCTTTGCTGAAAAAGAAAAATGCATCGGCTAGCAGCATGCAAAGACCATGCATTGTCATACCATCAAGCAAACACAAAATTAAAGTGTAATAAATAACTGCTCAAAGCCCACTTAAAAATCTTAAGACAACAAAAGGGGGGTCCGGTGACAAGGTGTTCACAGCTCTGAACAGGAAGAATGATGCTGTCAAGTAGATCGAGCTAGTGAAGTCAGGCCATTGTCAAATGACATGACAACAGCTGGTTTGACTGGAGGTACAGAGCAGCCCCTCCTTTGGGTTCCGCTGAATATTCACAGATATCGTCTTTTCACAGAGAGGTAGTTGTAGCACATTGTTTTTCAAGTTCCTGTTCTTTATCCGTTCCAATTCGTTCGCTGTGTCTGACATTTGGTCAGAAAAAAATTTTAGGTTGCCCAGCGACGAAGCTGGGTTTGCGCTTCCGCTGGAACTTATACACATTTTCCATGTTGATTTCTCCTGTACTTTTACACTGGAAAAGGACAGATTGTTTTGAGGATCAATAATGTATTTAGTGGTGCCGTGAATCTGTGAACCTAGGCAAAGGCTCATTAACTTCAGGCTTTCGACCAGTTCCCCTGCACTTCTAGACGATAACTGCATCGAGTTTCCAGATCCAGCGCATCTCCGAGTGGAACCCGACGTGTTGTTGGTGCTGCCACTGGAGCTACCAGAGGGACTCCCCCCACCTTTGTTGTTGTCACTCGGGCTCGTTTTGTCTACCCCTCCGTTTCCGTTGCTTGGTTTGCTTTGTCCACCACCGTCTCCTTGGCTGCCAGGGGGCCCTTCGCTGCTATCCCGCCGATGCCAGGAGTAAGTAAAGCCACTATCTTTGTCTAGGCGTCTCCTGCTTTCCGAGTCATCGTCGCTTGTTTCTGAGCTACTGCAACTAGAGCCCCGTCCCTGGCTTTTCCTCCTGTGGTAGCGTTTATGCACTGTGCTAGGCGAAGCAATATTCATTTTTAACCTGCTGAGCTTTGGGGGTAAGTTCTCATCCATGTCGAACTCGTCATCTGACTCACCCTCCTCAAAGATTTGATTGAGGACTGGTGCGCTCTTTCGCGAAGTGAGACGATTTGTAACTGAAGGCTTACGGCGCAGAACAACTTGAGTAGAAAGCGAAATAGGTTTCTTATCTTCTTCATCCTCCTCCTCATCTTCTTCTACTCTGAACAAGCACTTCCGGCCACTCGTAGTGGGTTTTAAACTGACTGATGGGACTGCTGAAAGTGCCGGTCCAGCTAATTCGGGGATATCTTCTTTCTTCGCTGAATCACCAAGGGCCTTGCTTCTGTGGCCATTGAGAACGTTCTCAGCCGTGCGAGCTGGTGACTGAGGAACAGTTGCATGGGAGAGAGGAGAAGCTGTAAGGTCATCCTCCAGGTCCTGGGGTACATCAATTTTTGTTGGCCACGATTGTCTACATAAACAGTGATAAAGGATAAAAGACAAGTTAGATCATGGCAAGCATTCCAGAACATACAAGAAGGTGTAAGACCTGCAGAAGAGAAGCACAAGTACTGCCACATAACGTGGCCTGCTGAGTGGCATGTGTGTAAATACCAGTTCCTGTAGAAATGCTGTTATTTGAAAGGAACATCATATATACAAAAGTATAGGTTAGAGATTTTGCTGGTTACTGTCAAATGAAATCTTAAGATTCCACTGCTCTCAGAAAACGAATTAAGCAATAAAAAGCTTTAAATAATTGTGTCTCAATGAAAATAACCTGAAGTGGGTATAGAACCATAAGTACCTAGAGGAACTCTGATAGCGGCTGATTCAAGTACAACTTAAGTAAGATGGTATTGCAAACTACTTTTAACCATAAGCTTCTGTTACTTCCCCCCGCCCTGTATTCTTCATGTAAAAATTAGGTTAGAATTAACATGAGTGAGACTGAAGAGCTGAGTCAGAAGAAACATTCTCTCATTTTCAGTAAGTCTCATTCAGACCAAGCTCTCTTCTGCAAAATCCCCTTTATTTTTAAACACACATAAATTGAGATGATACATTTATTTGACCTTAGCTGAGCAACTGGAATAATACAGCTGCATGAATTCAGGACTCAAGCTGCTTAAGAATATGACACTTGAATAAACTGTAAATCAAAGTTCAAAATGTATGACTGTGTACTAGCATTAGCTCAAATCAAAATGAAAGTAATACTTGAGCGTAAATCAGCTTTACAGTTACCAGCTGATGCCTTATCTCCAGTATCTAAGCTAGTATCTAATGATTTGTATTTTACTTTAAATCCTGAAATATGTTGTCATTTTCTCATAATGAACACTAAATTAAGAACAAAGACTGTCAGTCTTTCTCCTCTGTTTTGAAAGCCTAATCCAAATGACCAACACCTACAGACCAACAACTTAACATTGAATAATTCTTCAATTGCTTCACTTAGCAAAAGCCTCACATTTCTTATAGGAGACCAAGAATTTTTTTCAAACCTCTCAGAGTAAATTATCTGTAAGTTAAAGTTTGCCAATCACTTAACTTTACATAACTAAAATACTCTAGCATACCACATGAAAAGCTGTGGTAGAGACCTCTGTTCACATGGATAGCATATTACAAGACATTCCCAACCATATTTTGGGCATACCAAGAGAAAGGGCTGCCTGACTTTGTAGCCCAGGTGTAGGAGGAAAGCAGAAGAGGAAGCAGAGAATGTTTCACACTAAGCGCGACCCCAGATATCTGCTTGGACAGCCACCATATAGAAGATGGACCATACCAACTTCCCAATCTGTGCTGTGTTAAAAGGTCAAGCTGAAGAAACAAGGAAAGCTCAGACACCTCTTTGATATGCTTATTCTAAATGTGTTCTTTTGAAGTGTTTGAAGTTAATGGAAGCACCTGCAGTAGGACTGCATTTGCTTAAGGCTCCCTCTGTAATGGCTGGATAGAAAAGGATCCTGAAGTGCGAGATGCCTGTCCACACAGGTAACAACTGACAACTATCCTCCCAACTGTAGGGACTTTGAGGAAGAGTACTTTATGGAGGCCAACACTGAACTCCCCAAGCCTAACTGCAGGCTGTGTTTTGAAGTGCTAGCTTCAGTTCTGCTTAACAAACCAGTGATACAAAAATCCACCAGGATCCTCTACCAGTAGGACCTGGCTGCCAAGACATTCGTGCGAGCCTGTGTAGTCCATTGCCTGGGAGGAGCCACACAGGCTCCTTCCTGTCTCATTGGGCACTGGGAGCTGCTGGTGCCCCCCCATTAGTTTCCTTCTGGTGAGAGGTTCTGCCTGGAGGGAGGCCACACAACCAGCAGCTCCGACCCAAGCTGTCCAGACTAGAAGTGGCGCCTAGGCTGTGGTCCTCCTTGGTTTGACACTGGCATCCTCCCTTGGGCCCCAGTGGACTCCAGAAACACTGAGAACCACTGACCTAGTTTTCTGATGACTTCTGCTATGCTGGGTATTTTAAACACAAACAACTGGCAGCGATTAACAAATAGGACTTAAATAAATTAGAAGCATAACTACAAAAGTGTCATTAGAAAATGAAGATCTAAGTGTTTCAAGAATTTACCATGCTTTAAGAACAGACTGGTTTATCAGCAAAAAAAAAAAAGGAGAGAGTTCTGTGGCTGTCACAATAAAGGGTAAATATAGTATCTAACAGTAGTTTCCAGGCAATAAGCCTCCTCACTACAGTATGTTTATCTCTCAGAGCAGCCCATGTTTGCCTCCCTTCCCCTCCCTTTATTCCCAGTAAGCCTGAGGGGAGAGTGGGGACAGAAGGGAAGCTCCAGGTTGCAAGTAAGTTAATTATTTTTTTTTTAAATCTTTTGAAGTCTCAAAATCAAAGTAATGCACTACTTTCTTGTCTTTTCCATGAGGTCATTCTATATAAATCCTTGGAATTTAGAACCATCATGAAGACAAGGAACAGCTACCTGGGACCATTAAGGGCAAGAGTTCCTGAATTTAAGCAGATGTCCTTGTCATAAAAATTACACATGTAAGGCAGGCTTCAACTACTCCATTCAACTTTAAAAATTTATATCAAGATTTAGATTCAATGAACTTGTTTGTTCCAGTTCCTCATATAACTGGAACAGCTCTTCTACTGAAACTGTGACACCGATGCAGAGAAAAACCCCACAGTTTAAAAACAGACTTTGTAGTTTTAGAAAGGTAAGCTCAAAGATTTCCTGCAATTTGTTTTATAACTAATACTTAGTGTATTAGACACATCTGATGCTCTGCTTGGATTTCTTTTTAAAAAAGAAACTGAGATAAAACAAGAGGATGACCCATTAAGAGAGAACCACAGAGTGAAAGTTACAGTATTACCCTTGAAGACAAGCTATGTAACACTAAGCTCCAGACCATTTAGGTTCTGTAGGCAACCCTTAGTTGTCTGCAACAATAACTCTTCTAACGCACTTGTAACCATGCAACATAAGATAAAATTTTGTATGTAAGCGACCATTGAGTGAATGACCTTTTAAGTGCCACAACAAAATTTTGGTCTAGTCTAGTACACAAGACAGGGTGCAGTCTCATCTGGAGATGACAAAGATGTTGAGAACCACTGTAAGGTTCAGAGAGAAACAGCTCCTTATTCAGGGACATGCCCCTCTATCCTCTTCAGACAAAGCTCCTCTAAAAGCCTCCAAAATCTCAGCCTAAGTCCAAGGTAACAATCAATGGAGATGACATATCTTTAACCTATTTTCCAAAGTGTGCGCCCTTAATTTATAACAAGCATCCTTTTTTTCCTAGATTGAACTTAGGGTAGTTGTACCTTACTTTTATCAGTTAGGCCAAGGAAAATATGGTTATGCATCAGAAGGACACCATAGCATTTATGTCCCTATTATCATTGCTATTAGATGATTTCACACATGACCTTGCATCAAAGTTGCACAAAGAAACCTCTGGAATGAACAAGCCATTTTTTCTTTTTCTCTAAATCCTACCGATAGATTAACATCACTGAATGTAGGCAGCAACTCTAAACATCAGCACAAGCACTTAATATTGTTCTCCCATTAAGAGATTAGCTACTAACAATTATTATTATTGCTAATAATATTATACAAAAAAACCTAAAAGTCAACTTGAAGAAACTAGAGGTTAGATAACAAATTAATGGAAATGCCTCAGCACATCCTCCTTCTTCACTGGGAAGATTGTCAAGATGGGCCAATAAAGTCTTTTTTAGTACCAGTAGATGCCTAGTCATAGTCTAAAACTTAACTCGGGAAATTAAACCCAAAATGTTTAAGAAAAGTAACTGTTCAAAACATGCATCCTCCAATATCAATCTACAGGTGGAAAGTATACTATTTGCCTTGTGTTTGTTTTTAAAGCATTATGCTGCTCTAACTGAAAATATGGGATGCTTTGGTAACTGGCTGCAGAGCAAATGGACTGGTTGAACATACTAATACCAATATTGGTATTGTATTAGATGCCAGAACCCCACTGCCCCCACTTTAGTTTTACTGTGTCATGGGCTGAAGCTTTGAAAATCTCAGGGAACCTTACTATAAGGTTTTTTTAATCATGTTTTTGTCAAACTAAAAAAAAAACCAAACACATAACCTACAAATGTTTGCTCTAAGCTTGATATAGGGGAAGTTTAGCCCCTTAAAAATCAATGCTAACAACTAAACCATAACATCAAATTCAGAGTGATTTCTCATTTATAACTAATTCCCCATCGAGATGTTTGTGGATTATGCAACTACATTTTTTCCAGGGACACTACATACACAAGCTGTATGAGGAACTGAAGGTCAATCAACATGCCCTTTCCTAGCAGGTGTGAAAACTTACTACTACAGATTGATTAGGCATTCTTGAAAGTGGTACGAATTGAAGATACTATTGCTAACTGATTTCTGAACAGTTTCTGAAGCATCCACAGCACTTTAAAAGACACCTAAAATTTGCAATGAATAAGTATTTTACTTTTAAGAAAGAACTACTTGGTCAATTCAATAATACTCTCATTAAGGCAGGTTAAAAAAAAAAGAAACCATTTAGATTCCTAAATTCTCACCTGAACTGAGCTTTGATGTTGCTAGGGCTTGCAGATCTGGTCTGAATTTCTTTCTCTTGTTTTTCTCGCAGAATCCTTTCAGCTAGTAAGAAGTAAGTAGCAGTGATGTGATTGTATTTGTTAGTTTCCAATGCCCTAGGGAAAATGCAAAACATGAAATAAACCATACATAAATGGTTTTTAGAAAACTGGACATACATCTCACACCTTGCTGTACTTCTAGCAGGAAGAGCACCTAAAAACAGAACTGTATTTTTGATGTTTTGACAAGCATGTCTTGGTTTTATTAAGAATAAAGAGCTAACAAGTCTAGTAATTTCAACGATAGTTGGATGAGGATATCATTTTTTAAAGGCTAAAAGTGTGTTTTCATTAATGTCATGCACTAATGGTGGGCCTTCCCACTGGCAAATACAATTACAAAGTACTAATATTTGTTTATGCAACAACCAGAGGAAAAAACCTTATTATTATTTTAGGGTTGTCACATTAAGTTTACAGCAAAATTAAGTTCGTAACTCAGTAAGCATAATTCAGACATTCTAACAGAAAGGATGCCACTGTTATGCTGCTAAAAGCTTAAGAAGCAAGACCACTGCTTCCCCCTCACACACCCCCCACCACCCAAATGGTAAGATAGTAACAGTTTTTCCGGTTTAAAAACAAACAAACAGACAAAACAATTTTAAGTCCTCTTTCAATTTTGAAAATGTTTTAGAAATTTGGGGGGGTTTAATCTGTTAAAAAAACACATAGCTTTTTAGTAAGCTCACTCTATGACAATGACTATTTTGCATTATATAGATAAAAGGAATAATATTTTAAATTAACAAAGATTCAGGTACACTGGAAACATACTAAGGGAAAAATTCTGGAATTTTATTACCTCCAAATATGCATGAGATATGAAGCACAAGTAAAAGCATGGATTTCAAAGCAGTTCAGTTTACTTGAGATGGCAAACTACCACAGGAATCGAACACTGTTCCAACACATTTTCCTAAAGTTTTTTCTAAGGTTGTGTGTCCTTAAGTATTTCTCATCCTAGAATATCCTATCAGAGCATGACTGTAATATTTTGTTTAACCAAATGGCTTGGCATTTAAACACTGAAGTACCCAGGCTGTCATGACATTCTTTGATCAAAAATGACAGACGCACAAAACAAACTGCATAAAGAAAATTGACAACTTACTCCACTATTGTATCTCGATCTGCAATATCACCGAGAACCATGCGTTGTATTATACTGTTGTGCTCCTCCTCAGACAGATTTTTATATGACACAAGAGGAATATTGTACTTTGTTGCAGGAGAAGGGTCGACTCCTTGGAGCCATGCATGGTTTTCTATCTCTTCCAAAGATGCCCTTCGCTTCGGGTCTCTCTGCAACATCCGTGTAATGAGACTGTGAATAAAAAATAAATCTAAACAAAATGCACTCACGTGTTTTAAAAGCAGCCATTGTAAGAGTAACATTAGAAAGAAATTTTCTGCTGTCAGTCCACATAGATCTTTAAAAGTCTCTACAGTAAACAACGTGATGGGAAATTGTTTGTTCTCAAAGACATTCCAAATATTGCTGAACTGAAACAAGCGATTTACTTATTACTAACTATAAATATCATAACCTGATTTTTCTGGTTTGTTTGTTTTTAATAGGTCTTATAGGGCAACTGTCATAGATGGCCTACAGGCTGCTCTGTAAAGTAAATAGAAATACAATTTTCTATTATTGCTGCTGTCAACAAGAACATGGAATGGCAAGATAAGTAGAAATATTTTATTCTGAAATAGCTATCAGACATTTGATTCTTCAGTATCTCTGAAAAAACAGTGATCTGTTCTATCCATAGAGAGGGGGGAAAACACTCAACACAAAACCAAAATACTATCTGGGACGAAGAAGTAACAAACATACTAATGGGTTGATACTGAATGTTTACAAGTGCTGGAAAGGAAGGGCATAAATTCCCCAAACAGAGAAAGAAGACTTGATTAGCACAGCACATCTCTATTCACTTACTATACGTGAAAAATTCTTGGGGAAGGTATTTTTGGCTTTGCACAACAAACAGAACATGGATATACAGTTTTGGTGCCATTTCAATGAAACTTTATTGCTCCAACATGTGGAATGAAAGTTCTGCAGTTCTCACATGCTGCTTTTTATTGCACTAACTATACTACACCATGCAACTTCAAACTGCAAGGCCACACAAATCACAAAAGTAATCACAATTCTATTTCTTTGTAGTGTGAGATGCTGTACAGAATTAAAAATGGAGGTTAATTCAGACTTCTTAAAACTCTACTGTAAAAACAGGATGTCACATATGTACTCAGTAGCTGTGGTCTCTGACTTTACCAAAAGGAAAGGTGGGGTGAGACATGGGAGCCTTAATTTTCTTTGCTTTCATTAGTATTATGACAGAAAGGGAACAAGCTATATAATTCATTTGACTTTTTTTAAACTACACCTGTAGTAAAGCCACACAAATGTATCACATCTGCCTCCTGCTTTAAGCTTGCTTATGCATCCCAAACCACCAAGAATGCTTTCACTCTGAGCAGGAAGTTTAAACATTCCCAGAGTCTTTTCCCTAAGAAAACCTAACTTACAGAAGACTTGGGTAACCAGATCCTACATTGTTGATGCATCACAGAGAAAGCGGATCTACTTGGGCCTTTAAGCAAATTAGGAGTTAAGACAATCTATCAAGCGAAAGACTGCAAAAATAAGTTTCCTGGCCTCAGCACAGCATGCAGCATCTCAAGATATTTATTTGATAGAATTCACTGATAAGAGTTCTCTTTTAAACCTCTTCCTGTATTGCATTTTAAACCCATTTCTGCACGTAAAGCTCTTCAAGCTGTCGAAAGCACTGTTTCCATGTTAGCAGAAATGTTAGATGCTAATGACAAGACACAAAAACCAGCTATGGCATCATGTTATGCATTAGATTCCTGGACCACATAGATGCCAGGTGAAGAGAGGAACAGTCATTATGACCACAAGTGTAACTATTTCCCTCCTGTGTCAAATAAAAGATGCCGCTCTAGTTTTTTTGACTGGACCAAATCCATTTTTCAAGTGTTTATAAAAGCATCTGGACTTTCATATTGAAAATAAAAAGATACGCTATCGCAGATAGAAGAACCCAAGCAAACATTGTAAAATAGTTTAAGTGATGCAACTGGGATATATATGAAAAGGACTGAAGAGGTCATTAAACTGATAGGGAAATATGGGAAATATTGAAGCATATGAAAAAAACATTAAAGAGCTGCAGTGAACACTGCAGAAAAACAACACATCAAAATGAGTCACGATTCCCAAGTGGCATATGGTATTTGCAGACAGAATTTTTTCTCCCTTGATTGCCTAGAATGTTGATTTGGAGTTGCAATTTCAGTAGGAGATGAGTAAAACTTGCTGTGGTATCCTTGGGTTTTGACAACTTGTATTTTGAGCAGAAATCTGTAGGAATCGTTACCTTTTTAACCCCTGCCACAAAATACTCTCAGCAACACCTTGTAATTTGTCCAGCAAGAGTGGTGGCCAAAACCAATCAGTGGTGAGCAGCTTCTTCAATCATTTATAAAAGGCATAACAACTGAGATACATAAAAGAAAGATACATTGTGTAAAATCAAAAAAGTTTCACACAAACATGGGAAAAAGTGATTGGCAAAAAATATCATGGGATTAACCTTTAGTAAGAAGAGCCACAAAGAATAAAAAAAATGCAATACTGCACCCAAGAAACTACTCCATCGATGTGAAGAAATACTCATAACTAAGCAAAAGCAGTAGGCATAATAGCTTATTAACAGGCAAGGAATATTCTACGTACTGATAGTATGGTATGGAGAACTCTAAAAGGTAATGAGAATCCACTTCCATGAATGCTTCCAAGTTTTTAGTACTCTACTTACTCTTTACATTCTTTGGACACATGAGGTGGCACTGTGTATTTGCAGTCCATTATCATAGTCAGAGTTTCACTGTCATTTGCTTCTTGAAATGGCGGTTGTCCACAAACCAACATGAAGAGTATGACCCCCAAACTCCAAATATCTGTAAATATATTTCAAATAACTGTGAGGAAGCAGACAATTACCATCAAAACTGTGAAGTATTCTTGAGATGCACACTGGGGTTACTACTGCACTCTTGATTATCAGCATTACTCATGGAATTTGCAATTCCACTAAACCACAAGATACAGCCTTCCATTGTCTGAAGGCTTTTATAGTTTTAGAGGAAAAAAGTACCAGTTTTCATAACTTCAGTGATGCCTCACAGTTTCCTGTCAAAGCTGTTATGCATCTCAAATTGTTAGATACAGCTGAAGATAAACTGGTCACTCAGAAGACAAGAATTCATTACCCTTTTCTTCACAGGTAGGCACAGATTATTTGTATTCAAAGCACATTCCTTTTTGAAGGACAAGCATAAACCATTCTAAGTATTGTTTACACATTACTCTATGAACTAAGAGATTACAAAGAAAGTCACTTATTTCAATGAGACTGAGCTAGATGTTTTCCCTTCAGTAGCACTGCTTTAAAAAATTCTTTACTACTTCTAATGGTAAAAGTGTTAAATCATTCAGGTAAAACCACCTTCTTACACCAATCATACTACAAAGCATAGAGTGTTTTGTTTTTCTAAAATACCCAAATATAACATAATTAACAGCAATCTCTACTACACACTGGGAGTCTCCTTGCTTCCTAATTCTTGCTTGTGTAAAATAAAAAACATTTAACAACTGTCTTGTTCCTCAATGAAATAGCATATCAAAAGATGAAAGAGAAGCACTGCTGGGCATGAAGCCCTTTAGTTGGTTTCTACTCACTGTAAATGCTAATATTTACTTTAAATCTTTATTAAGAGTTTGCCTAGAAGAAAATATTTCACAAGGAAGCTTAAATATTGAGAAGTATATCATATTGCATAAAAATAAATAACTCCAATATACACTTAGAGAAAAGGCCACACTCTTAAACTTTAGCTACACCTCCACACTCTGGAAATTGCAATGGCGATTTTGGTTCTGACACCCTAGCATTTCACAGACCTGTCCCCAGTAAAACCAACCAGCTGAAGTGAACAGGCAGAAGCCTCCCGAGGGAAGAGGGGAGCGCAGCTTGCAGTTGTCTAAGCACCAGAGCACACCAGCTCTGTCCTGGAAGGGCTTGCAAGAGGGAACCACAAAGTGACCTACCCAACTGCATCATGCTTTTCATGGCCTACTCAAAATACTTGACACACATTTAATGCTGAGGGATGGCTACAATTTTATTTAATAACGTAAATCACACACATTCATGCCTAGAACAATTACTCATTTTGCTAGTTACAACCCATTCTTCATATGGTTTAGCTGACAGAGGAAGAGAAACACTACATGGTAATTTTCTTTAGAGCTCTAATTTGTAGTAAGTGTATGCTATTAACTCAAACAATTATTTGATTTCTTTTATGCTTACTAGGGCCTTAATCCTATAGGTACTATACATTTTGAGGCCAGTACACAATATCATGCATACTTGCAAATTCAACATGACTACTCAAGTGTTTAAGATTCAATAAATGCATTAATACTTTCTTAGCCTGATGCCAGAAAGCTGAATGTTCTGAAAGACAGGATTTTTAAAAAGCCTCACAAGACAGAGAGGTAGTTTCACCTAAGAGGTACACCTTTACTTTTGTAACGCTATTTATGTCTTTCTCCTACTGTTTAGTTTGAAAGCAGCCAAAATGTTTTGGTGCATCATCTATCTCCCACCACCCACCCGATTACAAGAACTCATTTTTGCAAGCACATAAAACATGTGAATTTATGCATTTCTACAAAGAGTCATCTTCGGGGTATCAATGTCCTCCTAGATTTTTTAACTTTGCTTAAGATCTATTTTGTGATACAGTCTAGTATCCTGTTTGATACTCCCCCCACAATAAAATAGAATGCTTCGTGCCTCCTTTCAGCATGAAGTATTTTAGCAGACTCCATATAATATTCTTAATTACAGACAAATAATTTTAGCTATAATAAAGCAATATCCATTGGCTAAATTTAAGCCAAAAGAAAAATATTGTGGAGGGGAGCAATGCAATTGAACCATAAGTTAAAAATCAGCATATAAAAAATTTAAACAGAAGTAAAACCACAATATTCTAAGAAGTCAAATGTAAAATAATAAGACAGTCCTGAGAAAAGGATAGCAATCCCAGTAAGACAACAATTAAATTTCCATGAAAACATCATATACAGGAAACTCTTGTACTGGGGAGGACAAGGTCTAGTAGACCTTTAAGTTTCAACTGCACTGAGTAGACACTGAATATCCTTAAGTACTTTTAGAAGGTAGTCTCCTAATTAATTTTCTCTTTCACACACATGGCTTCTTTTCTGGGATACACTTTTCCATATTTCAATTTCAAAGGATTTGTGATGACAGATACTGTTTTAGTTTTCCAAAAGTTATTGAGATAAACATGTATGTACATGTCCTGGTTTCAGCAGGCACAGAGTTAATTTTCTTCCTAGCAGCTGGTGTAGAGCTGTGGTTTGGATTTATAATGGGAATAATGTTGATAACACACTGATGTTTTTAGTTGTTGCCAAGCAGTCAAGGACTTTCCAGCCTCTCATACTGTCCTGCTGATGAGAAGGTGGGGGGTGCCCCAGAAACTGGGAGGGGACACAGCCAGGACAGCTGACCCAAACTGGCCAAAGGGATATTCCATACCATATGATATCATGCTTCATACGTAACGGGGGGTTGACCAGGAGGCAACCGGGCTCAGGAACTAGCTGAGCATCAGCTTTGGTTGGTGAGCAATCGTGCTGTGCATCACTTCTTTTGTATATTCTTTCATCATTATTATTCTCTTCCTTTTCTGTCCTATTAAACTGTCTGTATCTCAACCCACAAGTTTTACCCTTTTTTTTCCCCCCTTTTCAATTCTCTCTCCCATCCCACTGGGGAGTGGGGGGAAGTGACCAAACACCTGTGTGGTTGTTTTACCTGCTTGCCAAATTAAACCATGACAATACCTTTACTTTATTAAAAAAAAAAAAAAAAAAGACTTTTCAGATGCAGAATCCAACTAGATCCTCTAAATGCAAAGAAACCACCCCAAAACCTATTGTTTGCTATAACACAATGACCAGTTAGGTTTTGACCTATATGTTTTGCCAAATAAACCAGTAATTACTGATTATCCAGAATTTTGTATATTTCTTTCACTAATTACTATATTTTGCACTCTATCTACAGGCCTTTCCAGATAAGACCTGCAAATAACGAAATGAAACTTTTTTTAAATACAACTGCATGAAAAATAGACTACAAACTCTCATTAATAGTGAAATACCAGTCATGCACTGAACTGCTACCATACTTCATTGTATCATTCATGCTGTGTTACTAAAAAGGCATCATGTGTATGCAGAAAAACGTTGTTAGAAAGTAAAAATGGTGCTCAAGACTTTTTGACCTTATGATGTTGTCTAGATGTTCTTACACTCTCACTGACAAGCACCAGGATATGGCAACAACTACAATTTCTCCCATTCTTACACACTACAGGCAAAGTTTACTATGACACTTTTCTAACAAACGTGTCTTTTGTTAGCCTGACAGCATAGCAGACGCTTAATCTGATGTGGCTAAGAAATAACAGTGGACAGAAACAATTACATGGCTTTTATTCTCATATTTTTATAGCTGTGGCTGAAGAACAACTTCATTGCATCTGCAGTCATGGCTACTAAAATGACTCAGCTCTGAGCATCAAGGACACAGCTGGGCAACCTTAGCAGAATTAAAAGTACACTAATAACTAGGAAGCAAGAAAGTAGTGTCCCTAAGTAAGTCTAATCTACACATAAAGACTGAAAACAGAAAAATTACTGGAAGACTATAGTGCAGACCTTATGTCTCACAACAGATGTCATCTTGGGATCATCTTCACAAGCCCTCCAAGTATCATGTTATAGCAAGTCTCTCATGGAAGCAGAGCTAAGTGTTTGGATGTCTGTAGGTGTATTAAGAGGACACATTAAAGAGTTCTGTCTTGCACCTTCACATGCAGACTCACAAATCAAGGGGTTACTGCCTAGCCTATTCTCTGTGCCACAGTTTAACTAGACCCAATCACTTGATTGCAACTCCACATGCAACTAAAACCAACCAACCTGATGAATGATGCAACATCTTTAATAAGGGCCTCCTTCTGGTCAACTGCAAGTTGCCACCTTATTAAAGGTAAAGGCACAATGGAAAATGTATACAATGCTACAGCCACAGCTAAAAAAAAAAAAAAAAGACACTCTGTTTTTGCACCCCCCAAAAAAGTGAGAAAACTTACTTAGTGAGTATTTCAGCAGCTTTTGTCCTACATGCAAGTGACTAGAGATCAGCCTACAGATCTTGGTCACAGGTGCTCGCAGAAGGTTTTGATCCTTTTTTTTTTACTAGAAAAGTAGTGTCATGGCCAAGCTCACTCCTATGTTTTGCCATCCAGCATTTCAGACAACAATCTATGAGTGTTTGTATTTAGAAAAGAAAAAAATGAATGAACACTTAATGAATCACCGTAATCTTGAATCACAATAATTAGGAGGGATGTCACCAACAGATCAAGGGAGGTGACCCTTCACTTCTGCTCAGCACTGAGGCCACACCTGGCGTGCTGTGTCTGGTTATGGGCTCCCCACTACAAGAGAGACATGGACATACTGGATTGTCCAATGAAGGGCCGTGAAGAAGGGACTGGAGCATCTCTGCTATGATGAAAGGCTGAGAGCTGGGACTGTTCAGCTTAAAGAGAAGACTCAGGAGGGAACTTACCAATGCATATAAATACCTGAAGGGAGTATGCAAAGAGGACGGACCCAGGCTCTTTACAGTGGTGCCCAGTGACAGGACAAGAGCCAATGGGCACAAACTGAAACACGGGAGGGTCTCTCTGAACACAGAATCATAGAATTGTTTGGGTTGGAAGCGACCTCAAAGATCATCTAGTTCCAAACCCCCCTGCCACAGGCAGGGGCACCCCCCACC